TCTTAGTTCACATAGAATTATCATTTATTAGTGGTTAAATTGAAATACAGTCTCTTTTTTTCTTGCTTATTCCAATCATTTATCAATTGTTGTTCGCTTGTATTATTCTCAGCGATAGTGATGATGATGATGATGGTGGTGGTGTTCGTGATTGTGGTGGTGGTGGTGGTACATTGTTCGTCATGTTTCTTGTTTGTAGATCAAATATTTATGTCTTTACTCCCACCCCTTCATATACAATCAAAAACTAGATATATAAGTACATATATAAATATATATATATACCTATTACATTGAAACATTTTACAAAATTGTCCCTTCATTTTTCCATTGTGAACAAATAGTCTTAAGAAACATCGTCAATATAGTTTATGTAAGTTATTTATATTAAATATTATTCATGTTTTTTTTGTTTTATATTTTATATGTGTGAAATTAAAGTTTTGTAATGGTAGATTTTAATTATAATAATGGTCCCCAAATGCCTTGGTACGGTCGAGAGTGGGCAGAGTCCGCTCTCCCTCTCGAAATGCTCTCACATGGTCACGCGTATATAGCCTCTACCAGGGAAGTACTACTCACTGCTTTCTCGTGGCATTTCTGTTGTTTACGAAATTGAGAGGACGAAAAGAGCATGTCTGATGCTTTGACCGGGTTAATGGACACGAAGGGTCCACCTAGGGGAGTTGGAAAACCTTTATTCCATACCAATGGTGCACATGAGCTCCAGTATCCTGAGGGAACAAATGGTGTATGAATCAATCGTTGGTCACCGACTACCATGGGACTGCATCTCTTCACGATGCTCCATTGCCTTGTGCATAAGGAATTTTAGGTCTAAGGCTCCGGGTATGTCCGTTTGAGAAAACCACTTATTTCAGTTTGGGCACCTGGGTAGTCTTACAGCCATGACACAAATGAAATGGGATTTGTGTGGCGCATATGTATCTGGTACCCCTTTGTACCAATATTTATGTGTATAAATAAAATAAAATAAATAAAGAATAGATGAAATGATACTTGTCTGATTTTAATAATAAAGTTAAACAAACACAATAATTATGAAAAGATTAATATTTGAAAAAAAACTTGTCATTGATATTTCGACTCAATTAAATCTCACAACCGGGATCGTGGATGCGCACCTCCGAAGAGTCCCATACTAGGACGAGACAGCCATCCAGTACTTCCAGGTTTATTCATGGTGGTCTCGCTTTAAATGACTCATAAATTCAACTATTGTATTATATGTATCATCATAGATGGGGTATTGTTGAAAAGTTTATAGATTAATATTTCTTAATCTTCAGATTTAATCTTAAATTTTTAATAGTTTAATTCATGAGCCGATTAAAGCTAGACCACCATGAAAAACCTGAAGACGCTGAACAGCCGTTTCGTCCCAGTATGTGACGCCTTAGTAGTGCGCATCCGCTATCCCGCACCAAAGGTACTTGTACCCAGAACTTTAGGTCTGCAGCGTGAACGGTTAACCTCTAGACCACTGAGCAGACTAGTATCCAATGGTGTTAATTTTTAACTTCAAACAACCCACGATATTGCACCAACTTTCATCATTGTCTTCTGTGAGTAACTACCTCACAACAGACCCCGGTTAAACTACACTGGTCAAGACTATTCACTAGAACTTCAAGAAACCTATCTTAAAACCAGTCTCTAGTGAGAATGGGTTTTTATGGATATTTTAGTAAGTTTCAATAGTTACAATATCCACAAAACACCATTCTGATAGTAATTTTAAATAGTAATTAGATACTATGTTTATTGTTCTGAACTCATCTCTCAAATGATTAAACAATATAATTTCTTAAAATTGTTCCATAAATCACAACAAATCTATAATATATGGTTGAAATCATGAAGCTAGACCATCATGGAAAATCTGGAAGCACTGCTTGACGGCCGTTTCGTCCCATTGTAGGACTCTTCATTTCTGAAAAAGTGAAATCTAATGATTCGTGGATTAGTTGAAGTTAGACATTAACACCGTTGGATGCCAGCCAGCTCAGTGGTCTGTCGGTTAAGGGCTCTGGCTCGTAACTGGTAGGTCCTGGGTTGGAATCTCGCGAGTGCGGGATCGTGGGTGCGCACTGCCAAGGAGGAGTCCCATAATAGGACGAAACGGCCGTCCAGTGCTTCCAGGTTTTCGATGGTGGTCTAGCTTCAATTGACTCATGATTTCAACTTTGAAAAATTGTAGACCAATTAGTATCGGTTAGTTGTTTATTCACATTTTAAGATTATTTAGTATTTTACAGTTATAACAGTTATAAGTGAATTGTAAACTATAATGGAATAGTTGTTTAGGAATAGTGTGAAGTTTGTGTCTCCCCTCCCCGCGTTCCTCAATATGATATCAGTTCTTCCTAAATATTATCTTAAATTATAGTATATTATTTATTGTAATAAAACTTCAATTCTACCTGAAGTTTGTGCTGATGATGTCGTTCAGAAGAATGATGAAAGCTCCACGACTAAACCATCCAGCTCAGAGAACAAAACTCCATCAAAATAAAGGAAACACATCTTAGTTTTATTAAGATATTTCATTGTGGTTATTTTAAATTTAATGATAGCAATACATAACTTGTAAGTTTATATTACTAAGTAAAAAACCGAATATACGTAGATACGGGAAACATTAAAAAACTATAAGATGTATTCATTTTATGTAGACGTTTATTATGATTTGAACTAGTATTTATACAGAAATTAAGAGTCAAGTACACAGGTTACACTTGTTACTCCTCATAGAGAAGCATAGGCAGCTAACGAGGATTCTCCATCCCACTTTGTCATAGATAATCTTTTCCAGTTGTTATTCATCCTATTCATGTATACTTCCAATTCTCGGAGTTGGGTTTTTTGATAAATTATATTTAAAATGAACCTGACGATTAAAATTTAACTCGTCCCAATATTTAACTCCCCCCGGAAACTCTTGTATGATTCTTCAGGAATTTTCGTCAATGACTAGTTTACACAGAGAATTTTTTATTATTTAGACACATAAATATCGGTACAAGGAAGCACAAAATAGATATGCGCCACACAAATCTCATTTCATTTGTGTGAGAGCTGTGATACTGACCAGATGCCCAAACTGAAATAGGTGTTTTTCTTAGGGGACCACACACGGAGACTTTGACTCAAAGGTCTGATCCATTTAGCAGTGGAGCTTCGTAAGGAGGTGCAGTCCCATGGTAGCCGGTGACCAACCATTAATTCATACACGATTTGTTCCTTCAGGATACTGAAGCCAGCCCATGTGCACCATTAGTTTGGGATGAAGGTTTTCCAACTCCCCTAGGTGGACCCTTCGTGTCCACCAACCCGATTAAAGCGCCGTATATTCGCTTTTCCTCCTCTCATTTTCGTCAAGAACACCTGTGGTACGAGAAGGCAATGAGTAGTACTTCCCTGGTAGAGGCTATTTGGGCGTGACCATGTGAGAGCATTTCGAGAGGGAGAGCGGACTCTCCTCACTCTCGGCCGTACCAGGGTATTTGGAGGCTTCATCGCTTGCACGAGGAAACTTTGGAATAATTAAAATTATATGTATTTAATGAAACTGTATTTATACATTCAACTAAATTCAAACTACAGATGAAATTAAATTCACTAAGTATTGTTTCCTTGTATCTTTCAATTGTTGAACAAAAACTCGCATCTTAGATTGAATTGTGTAGGTTTATTTTATTTTAGAGTAATTATTAAATTTTCAAGTTCATCAAAACGATTTTCTTTTTTTTTAAAGAAAGGGCATAATCTACTTATTTTAAGTATGGGATTATGAAGATTCTTAAATTTTTCATCATAGAGATTAAGAATAAATTTAGTAACTGGGTATAATTTTTATAATATTTTGTAACCTAATTAAAATAATAAAAATAGATAAGATTGATAAGTCCTGGGTTCAAATCTCACGAGGTGAGATCGTGGATGCGCACTGTCAAGGAGGAGTCCCACAATCAGACGAAATTGTCGTCCAGTGCTTCCAAGTTTTCCATGATGGTCTAGCTTCAATTGATTCATGATCTCAACTACTAAAATTTCTATAATATCCGCAAAACCCTTCTGATATTTATACTTTTCTAAAAAAGTCTTTAAATCTGTATCTTTATTACATTATAGACTTTAATTTTATTTAAAACAGATAGTTATTATTACAGAGTACAGTGTATATTGTTTGATTTAAGTAGAATATATTCATACATGTTTTATTTGATCATATAAAAACACTGAAATACACCTAAAAAAACAGGTGATTTTCTTAAACGGACATACCTCGAGCCTTTGACTTAAAGATCTAATCCACAAGGTAGTGGAGCAACTTTAGGAGGTACAGTCACATGGTAGTCAATGACAAACAATAAGTTCATACGCTATTTGTTCACTCAGGATCTTGGAACCCATGTGCACCATTTGTTTGGAATGAAGGTTTTCCAATTCCACTTAGTGGATCCTCCATTTCTATTAAACCCGCTTTTCGTCCTCTCAATTTTGTAAAGAACACCTGATGCCATGAGAGGTCAGTGAGTACGACTTCTTTGACAGTGGTTTTATGAACGTGGCTGTATGAGAGCATTTGGAGAGGGAGAGCTGACTCTTCTCACTCTCGGCCTTACCAAGGCAATTGGGGATTGATTTATTATACGATAATGATAATATATAAGAACTTTCGTCTAAATTAGAGCGAATAGTTTCATCGTATTTAGGCGCTAAGTTGATGTAAGACACATGAAATAGGAAGAAGAATATGTATTTGTATAATCTCAGTGAATGAATTTGAAGTAAACCCAATATTTCACCTGGCAATCTGGTCTAAGCTTTTTTTTTCAAAGAAAATATAACTTTCATTTGTGTTTATAATTTCAACTACTTCTATGGAAACGGTTAATATAAACAAGGAAAAAAAGATTTGACAAATCAATGATTATTCCCTTTAATATTAACTATTGTAGTTATGTAAAACAAATTTTCAATCTGTTGACAATGAAGTGTTATCATAGATAAAGCCAACCAAAGATTATCGTCATATATAGAGTATGGGTGAAAGATGAAAAGTTTCTACTGTTTTGTTCATTTAGAATATCATAGACAATAACTAATGAAGTCTTTGCATCAAACTGTCATTGTTTAACTTATTTTCCTTTCATAATTTCCTCCTAACAACAATTGTATCTTAACAGTAATAGTGATAATAGTGATTATTCTCTCTCCTGGATTACGTCAGATGTACGTAAATAACATCTTTATGTGTACACTTATTATGTTTAATATTATTATCCATTTGACCAGTAGCAATCGTTTTATATTTTATACGTTTACATTATTCTCATATAAGCAAAGATGGATAGTGACTAGCAGTAGAATCCAGAACACGCCCCACTTTGTCCTATTTTGGGACTCGTCAGATGGATGTAAAGGCATCTCAGAGTTTATGTTCACTCTGGCACTCGAACCCAGTACCCTTCGCTTCAAACGCCATCGCGTTATGCACGTAGCTACTGAGTTCTGATAGCCACTTGCTTGTGAAATGAGGTAAAGTTTGGATTCACTTGGTATTGTTTGTTTGAATCTTTCCGTTGATGTTTAGGACTGCAATTGATCAGGCACATTCAACTGACGAGTCCCAAATAGGATGAAACGTGCGTCCTGGATTCAACTGCTAGCCACTATCCAACTTTGCTCATAATGCTTGTGAATTAAGGCTATATTGAGGCAATGCGCACAGTATGCACATATGGCAATAAGAGACTGACCAGTCGCAGTCCTGAACATCAATGAGAAGATTCAAACAAACAATACTAAGTGGGATTATTCCCTTAGTTTTTTTAATGATTCACACAAATTTGTCATCGATACACCTTAGACTGTTCTTCTATGTAATACATGTAACAATAATTTGTATTCAGTAAGTCTTATTCAATGTCGAACCTGGAGTACTTGTGATGATGTAGATTACTATACCGCATTAACACAGCGATACAAGATTGTAGTAGCATAAACCCTAGGGTCGTAGAAGTAGTAACGGTAGTAGTAGTAGTAGTAGTAGTAGTAGTGGTAGTGGTAGTAGTAGTAGTAGTAGTAATAGTAGTAGTAGTATTAGTAGTAGTAGTAGTAGTAGTAGTAGTAGTAGGAGGAGGAGGAGGAGGAGGAGGAGGAGGAGAAAATATGAGTTGTAGAAAAATGAAAAGATAAAAGGGAATTTAAAAATGCATGGTCTAAATGAAGATAAGTAGTAAATTCACAAGTGTCATTATGAATGATTCTGGCTTATTCATCCAAAGTCACTAACCATTGGTCACGATAATCGTACGGATCTCAATCAATTAGTCCACATTTATTAACCTGACTCAGTACAATTTTTAATAATTACCTAGATTGATGCTTTGTCTTGGTTTAACCATTCCTAGCTTTGTTTAGATCTAATCTTGTATTAAACAACATAGTTGATCGAGATATACAGTGTTTCAATCTATGTAACACATTTACAAAACACCTCAGTTGTTGGAGATTCAACACCTCATCAATCGACTTGCTATGTTTATCTAGCACCTTAAACCTAACCTCTTTATTGCTTTCTTGATATTCCCAAAATATATGAATAATAGTTCTATGAATATTCTCTATTCTTAATAGTCATGTTTTACACTCATAAAATAAAACATAGCAAACTATTCCCTAATTGTTAATACAATAGAATCATCATCTATATTATTATATTTTACTTCATATTAATATACTACTAACATAAATCTATTAACAATAAGAATTCAGATGTTTTGAATAAAAAAACAATTATTTGCAGTTACCTTACTTACTTTCTGGTTAGCGTTTTCTTAACGAGTTAGTTTTCAACGGGATGGGATCTCTAACCCCATACCCGACCCTCCTCCTTTATCCGGGCTTGCGACCGGCAGTAGCCTCCGGAGATGCTACAGACGGAGTTATGGTCACTTTAAGGATTTTTAAAAAGGAATTTCTCAAAATTGTACATTCATTTAACAAATAATTAATCAATATCAGAAGGGGTTTTTTGTGGATATTATAGTAATGGTTGAAACCATGATTCAATTGAAGCTAGACCATCATGGAAAACCTGGAAACATTGAACGGCCGTTTCGTTCTATTGTGAGACTCCTCAGCAGTGAGCAACCACGATCCTGCCTCGCGAGATTCAAACCCATGACCTATCAGTCTCGCGCGCGAGCGCTTAACCACTAGACCAATAAGCCGGAATCCGATAGTGTTAATGTCTAACTTTAACCAATCCACGAAGTTGTGTAACCGTTCACTAATTGTCTTCAGTGAGTTGATATTTCACAACAGACCCACTGGTCATTTAGATTATTTTACAAATAGGTTTACGTTAACATAATTCAACTTATAAGAATAAGAATTTATAAAGATTGTAATAATTTTAATAATTGAATTCATGAATTCATCTAAGCTAGAACATCATTGAAAATCTGGAAGTAATGAACAGTTGTTTTTTGTCGTAATATGTTAGCCATTTGAGGGAATGCAAATGCACAGTGTTGAGGTGTTCCATATTAGGATAAAATGGGAATCCAGTGCTTCCAGGTTTTCTATAATGATCTAACTTAGATCGACTGATGAATTCAACTATTAATACTTTAATTTAGTTATAAAGTTTTTTAATGATTTACTTAGATAACTAATAGATCATATGATCCATTAAACAACACTTTGAAGACGTAGATGACAGCTATTCATTATCTTCAATATACAACTGTTATGTAGTCTTAAAAAGACTTCTCAACTTTAGATGTGAATAAAGTCAATATCTTTAAGTCTTATAGTAAATATACAATGTTTTTTTCTTTTATGAAAATACTAATGATTTGTAAAAAGAAACTAGTTCTGTAGTGAGATATTAACTCACTGAAGACATTAGTGATTGGTTGCTCAACTTTGTGGATTGATTGAAGTTAGACAATTAACACTATCGGATTCCGGCTTATTGGTCTAGTGGTTAAGTGCTCGCTCGCAAGACTGATAGGTCCTGGGTTCGGATCTTACAAGGTGGGATCGTGGATGCACACTGCCAAGGAGGAGTCCCATAATAGAATGAGTTGTGCGTTCAATGCTTCCAGGTTTTCCATGATGGTCTAGCTTCAATTGACTCATGATCTCAACTATTAAAATAAATACTATATATGCTGTTCTATATAAATGATACATTAAATGTTTAGTTTTAATTGTAAAATATTATAAGTGAAATAAACATTTTAATGAAAATATTAATTTCTTTCCATCTTACAAATTAGATACACACATACACACACACACACAAATACTCACCAGAACTACTCAGTTATAAGACTCATAATTTATACTACTGAAATAAACAATAAAAATCCATATGTGTGTTATAGCAACTCTCCTACAATTAATTTCGATAATGGTTAACGTTTGTAAACCCTTTTTATTAGTTTATTTAACAGACAATGTTCTTTGGACAGTAACAATTTGCATATTTCTTTATACAATTATGATCACTATCTTGTCTGTATAAACGTGTACTTTTGATCACAAGACAGTCTATGCACATCTCTATCTAGCTAAAATGTTAATCACTTAAATATCGCTCGATGATTCATTCTCTTCCCCATGTATATATGTACTTGAATCCTATTATTAGCCTTTACTTTGCCTACCTACTCCTTGATTCGATTTCACTATAGATTTACCTCTGTATTTGCTCGTATACACATATTCGCTTCTCTGCTTCAAACTTTTTCGATATGCTTGTAGCCTTGTGACTTATGCTATCTGCAAATAAACTGTAGTTGCCGCTTTTTATTGTCTTGTGATATCAAACACCGTTGATAATTATATTACAACAGTTATGAGGATGACTGATTAACGAAGCTAAGCCACTTCAATGTAAATTGCATTTAACTCCAAAGTACTGATTGTTCAATTAGTTATTAGATATTCTATTCTTGTTCATTATCATTGTTTATGAACAATAGTCTGTACAAATAACATAATTAATAAGAAGTGTTCATATTTGATTAATTACTAAGGGAAGATTTGATTAGTGTGAGGGCTGTGACACTACCTAGGTGCCCAAACTGAAGCAGGTGGTTTTCTTATGGGGCCACACTCGGAGCCTTCGACCTAAAAGTCTGATCAATAAAGCAGTGGAGCAACGTAAGGAGATGCAGACACATGGTAGCCGGTGACACGTTGAAATTATTAAGATTTCACTCACTAAGATTATCCAAATAAGACTTTTTGCATTTATTGTCTTTTAAATCCTTAGCGCTCACTTTCTGTTAAAATATCCTTTCAAATTTTGACAAATTTTCAAATAAACGAGCCTAAAAGAATCGATTGAAGTTAGATTTGTACACTACTAGATCCCTGCTCAGTGCTAAAGAGGCTAAGCGTTTTCACATAACCCTGGATGTCTGGGGTTCAATTCTTGGTTGCGGGGTCTTGGATATATACTACTAAGTTGTTTCTTACTAAGACCAAACGGTTATCCGATACTTTCAGAATTTTATTTGTCACCTAACTTAGATCAGTCCATAATTTTTGTGATATTGAAGGTGTTTAACGCTTGAATATTGTTTCAAGGTAAAGATAATTAACAAAAAAAGATGTAGAATACATGGAAAGGAAAGTCGATGTAACTTGTTTGATTGTATAACATGTTAATATCTTGTATATTTGTTTAATGAAGAGTAATCTACTGTGTGGTGAAGATCAAAATATTATTATCAGTCAAACGGTCATTCATAAGTAGCGTACAAATTTACATAGACACGAGTATTACCTTAATTTGTATTAGCATTTTAAATTGAAACTGCATTGCATGTAATTACGTTGCTCCATTGCCTTGTGGATCGGATCTTTAAGTTAAAGGCTGTAGGTGTGGCCCCTTAAATAAACGACCTGTTTCGGTTTGGGCACCCAGGCAGTATCACAACCCTCACACAAATCAAATGAGATTTGTGTGGCACATATCTATTTGGTGCTCCCTTCTACCAATATCTATGTATTTAAATAAAATAAAATAAAAGTATGATAACCCTTGGCACTTAAACATTAATTAAACACAAAATGCACCGGCAATACTGTGCACGATATACTGACTAGACATCGAAGACGTCGCTTACATTATGTGTACATATATAATTTTCCTCTATGATAGCCGAGAATAAAATCCCAACACGAATAAAATAATTAGAAAATTAAAC